AGAGAGAGAGAGAGAGAGGAGGCTCCAACGGTGGACGGAAAGAGAGAGAGAGAGAGAGAGAGAGAGGAGGCCCCAACGGGGGACGGAAAGAGAGAGAGAGAGAGGCTCCAACGGTGGACGGAAAGACAGAGAGAGGAGGGACAAACAGCGGACGGAAAAAAAGGAACCAACGGTGGACGGAAAGAGAAAGAGGCTCCAACGGTGGACGGAAAGACAGAGAGAGAGAGGAGGCTCCAACGGTGGACGGAAAGAGAGAGAGAGAGGCTCCAACGGTGGACGGAGAGAGACGAGGCGACAACGATGGATGGACGGAGAGAGAGAGAGGGGAGGCGACGACGGCAGTGGATGGACAGAGCGAGGAGAGGAGGTGACGGCGGTGGACAGAGAGAGGAGGCGACAATGGTGGACGGAGAGAGAGAGGCGACAACGTGGACGGAGAGAGAGAGAGAAAGGAGGGGGGGGAGAGAGGTCGGCGACAACGGTGGACTGAGAGAGAGGAGGCAAGAACAGCCGTCAGATAAAAGAGATGACAACAGCCAACAGAGAGGAGAAGAGAGGAAACTATGATGGCTAACAAAGGGAGAAGTGGACAGCCATTCAGACAGTAAGAAGAGACAGCAATGGCTGACAAACAGAGAGACAAAAGAAGATGATGTCTACAGTCGAAGACGCTGGTCAACAGAAAGAGTAGACACCAATAGTCAACAGAGATAGAGGAGACACCCAACAGGCAGAGAGTAGGAACAGCAGTCGCTGACAGAAAGGGGGAGGATATAAGGGTACCCAACAGACAGAAAGAGGGAACAGCAACAGCCTACAGACAGAGAAAAGAGACAACAATAGTGAGAGAGGGGACATAGTCATGGCTGACATACTGAGAGAGGAGGCTGCATGACTGACAGACAGAAGGAAGACACCATGGTAGACAGGAGTGCGGCAAATAAATATTTGGGGGTGGCAATAAAGAGCATAAAACATACACAGCAAGATCTACTGAGGAGAACAACAAGCATAGAACATTCACTACCATTCCTGAGAGAGATATACGGGACAAATAAACAGAGACGGGTTATGGGTCTTACTTTATATGTATTAATGCCCCATTTCTTCACCAAGTCAAATTTCTCCACAGCGACCCCTCGAGAGAGCTCTTCAGAGGTGAGAGAAGGGTGCGAGGACGGCTGAGACCCTGGAGGAAGAAAAGTCAATGTCATACAATGGAAATACAGGCAGCAGAGAGCGGCTGGTCATACCACAGTACGAGGACGGTGTGGACCTAAAAAGCTCCTGGGATTTCATTACTGGTACAATAAATATATCCATTGGATGGTCTGAACTCCAGAGGACAGCCTGGGAAGCAGAGCCCTCGTCTGCTCACCCATGGATCCATACCAGATTACCCATTCGTGGTCTACAGGCCATCTAACACCTTCAGCTACTTTCTTCAACTATAAAAGCCGGGAGAGCAACAACCACCCGCTGAATGCCGAGATACCGGGCTGGAGGGTCAATGTATCACTGCGGAGTCACTTTATATGATCTAGGAACATTTTACTGAACAAACTTATCCCCAACAGGAGAAGCTTTTATGATTCTTTAGAGCGGATTGAAATTGAAGACCGGCATTTAAACGGGGTCCACATAGATGATCAAGTATAAAGAGAAAGGGCTGTGGGAAGCTTGCCAACAGGTACAATTTTTCGGGCTGCCTAGTGTCTGGGATTTGTCCAGCTATGAAATAGGAAAATTACAGGGACAGACAAAGCAAATAAGCGGTATAAGGTAAAAGCCTTCATGATTAGAATTGTCTGTGAACAGTCTCATTCATTCAGGTCATGGTATATCTGTAAAAATTAAGTCAAGGCAACTGGACATGCTGTATTTTTCTTGAAGACGTTTCACTGGTCATCCGACCAGCTTTCTCAATTCAGAATGACTTGTACGAGTCCCAAATAATTTTTGCACAAGCCATTCTGAATTGAGAAAGCTGGTCGGATGACCAGTGAAACGTCTTCAAGAAAAATACAGGTAGTCCAGTTGCAGTCCAATAATTTGGGGGGATTACCCTTCCCTTCTTGTACCGGTGTTCCGTGGAGGTGGCCAACTCGTCGAGATCTCAAACTCGTGACGTCACATCCGTTGTAGATTTCAACAAGACGGCGCTAGTGCACCAGCCGTCACAGTTTTTGCAATCCTTGTGGACTTCTCCACTTGCAGTAGGTGCGCCTGTGCGCTTTCAAAATTGTCATCGAGTTCTCCAACTCCCGTCGGTGCTTGCGACATCGGGTGCCCGCACAGGCGCACTACCGCAGATTGTAGAGTTTGTTACTTCTCCTGGGTGGCTGCGCAGGCCACAGCTACCCAGGAGATGGGAGTTGGCGGTCTCGACAAGTTGAAGAATTCGATAGAACACCGGACCTCCTGTTCTGGTGAACTGTAGTAAGACTTGTAGCAATTGATGATTTAGAAACTGTAGAGTTTAAAGTACATCTAATCCTAGAGGCTTAGAGTTAAAAATTGCCAAATCTCAGTGATTTATGAGCGATCACATAGTCCACTATCCTGTTTTCTAAACACCATAGGGAGGTGAAGGCCAATATTGAAGATTGCCATTGGAGGATTGTTGCTAGAACAAATGACAGCGAGGCTTCGTGGAGGCTCCCCTGTTGAGCGAGCGCTTTGATCTTCCCCCATGAGGTGCCGTCACATCAACATGATGATGACGACATTTTTAAATGAAGTCTTTCCATTTTCATTGCATACCTCAATTGGGACCCAGTGACGTTATCACTGGGTCTCTATGTGTTTTCAGGGCTTGTTCACACCATCACCAGACCGGTTCTGGATTGGAAGACGGGAGGATCACAGATACAGTAACCCGCGGGCACACAGGGTTATTACATTTTTGGGTTACAACCACTTGAAGTGATGACCTCTACTGACTCGCTTAGGATTTAAAAAACTTGCATCTTAAAACCTGTTTGGTTCCTTCCTCATGCATTGGAAGATATGTAACTTTTTGAAAGCTCCAAACTTTCCTTAATGGTGACAACTATAAAATTTTAGATTTCCAAACACTTTCTCTGCTGTTGACACTGGTCAGCATCGAGCCGGCCGAACAGCTGGATCCTAGCTGATTTGCTGGAAAGCTGAGTTCCCAGTCAATCAGCATGGAGCCGGCTTCCCGACCAATTTAGGAATCCGGGAGGCGGGTCATTACTCGGCTTCCTCATTGGCCGGCTTGATGCTGATTGTGATTGTGACAACATGGAGCTGGCTTCCTGGGCAATCAGGAAGCAGGCGGCATGTCATTACCCGCTGCCTGGCTTCCTGATTGCCCGGGAGGCTGGCTCCTTGCCAGCGGAAGCACCGGTATTAATACTCGGTATCGGCAGGTGCCGACAGCAAAATATACGCTCGATACTGAAAAACCGGTATCGGTGAATCCCTAGTATCCAGTATAATTGCGCAGTCGGGAGAATATGACAGGGATACCCAACCTTTTTTATTGCTGCTGTGGAAAGTATTTAGGGAGAGCTAGCAAAGTGTAATAGGAAAAGTGTTTCTGAAATGGACTTTATCCAACAGGTTTCTGTTCCTAATCCAGGTAACCCATTTAAGCAAAATGATGACTGACAAGGAAACATGAGATTTTACAAAGCAAACTATGGGAGCTGTGCTGGTCAATCTAAAGTGGATCTGCAATGTGACTGATAAGAAATGAAGAGGGTGGTGAACTGTAGAAAGCTTTGATGGAAGCTGATCCTTCTACAGCACTTTAGAAAGTGTATTTGTATGTTCAGCTATGTGCCAGTAATCTCTGCATTTTATTACTTCCATCCAAATTTTAATTAAAAAAAGAGCAGATTATTCCCCAGTATCTTCTCTCCTCCTAGAGGAGACACAAAGCAATAACCCCCTTCCTGCCTGGGTACTACATAAGAGTTTATCCCTGCTAATCTCCTGATGTGCGAGAGGAAGGAGCTACAATCCTCTTCCCAGCACAGGATTCTCTGACCAGACTGCTCTATAGTTATTAACACCCAGCCAGAGCTGGGAGAATCTGTCCCAGAATAACATACCTCCGTGTGGCCTGCCCCTGTGCTCCTAGTAATAAGGTCTACACCAACCTCCCCGACCCAGAACAGAGCAGCAATATGTAGTGATGGGTTTAATTCCCACCAAGTTAAAAATGTCATAATACCCCATCCAGTCTAAAAATGATTTAAAAAAAAAAAAAAAAGAAGAAGAAACAATCACTCTGCTGCTCACCTTCCTCAGCTCTAGGCACCCTCTGGGTGGCAGGTTTAAGCCACAGCAAGTACAACTGAGCAGCCAATGAGTAACACTTACTGCACACAGATCCCAGTTACTGTGGCCAGTAATTGATGGGAGACCACATTTTCTTACCATTCATGTGTTAACCAACTTTGAAAATGTCATGGGCATACGTTAATGTTCTTGTAATCAGTGTTAGGGCTTCAGGTGCCTTCAACATCTTCAGATGGGGTTGTGTTGGGGCTTCAGGTGCCTTCAAACATCAAAGCCCCTGGAGTACTGTGGAAACATCTTTCTTGTTTCCAAAGAACCCCAAATCTCAGGAAGCTTCATTATACAAATTCCCTTCAGAGCTTGCCCACATGGTTATGGCCGGTATTGGCCAGTCAGGCGGTGTACTGTGGTAGGATGTGGCATGCCTAGAAAGTGACTTTCCAAACTTTGGTTGGAATTTCCATAAGCATCCTAGGACTGGGGTATCCATAGGCCATATGAAATTATACTGAAGATGCATGGTAGCACCTTGAGGTAGAAGAGGTCACCTCTGAAGACACAACGTGTTTGCTTTAAAGCAACACGATCACATACCTAAACTATACCCAGAAAGCACAAACCTGTAAAGAAGAGAGAGAATACTTATGTTTCCTAGTGTCCATGCTGCTGGACTCCTCTCCAATCGTGAGAAATTACCCCTGGGGTCTGATGCAAAAAAGATGCTTCTGTCAGTGATGAAATCTGTGGCCCACTGCAACTCACCCTGACTTCCATGACATTACAGGATACAGCAGTGTTGTGGAGGTCAGCATGAGGAACCAATGAGGGCTGTGGGGCACCACAGAGATCACACTCCAGAAGCCGGTTCCTCATCAGCCGACCTCCTCGACATTACAGGATACAGCAGTGCTGGGAAGGTCAGCACAAAGATCCAATGAGGGCTGTGGGGCACCACAGAGATCACACTCCAGAAGCCGGTTCCTCATCAGCCGACCTCCTCGACATTACAGGATACAGCAGTGCTGGGAAGGTCAGCACAAAGATCCAATGAGGGCTGTGGGGCACCACAGAGATCACACTCCAGAAGCCAGTTCCACATCCAAAAGTGTTGGTTTCCCACTTGACTTAGGGGAACCATTTCTTATGAATAAAGTGGAGTTTAGCAGTATGTGTAATAGGAAAGGAAAGCATTCCCTCTAGTCTAAGTATGCCACAAGGTCACAATATAGAGAAGTATAATGATCCTCTTACATTGGACCATTCTGGAGATTTTTCTAAAATGTATATGCAGCGTTCATATAATGTCTCTCCCAGTATAATATATAGTATAATACAGCAAACTAATCAAATATCAATATTTTTCAGAGATTGATTTGCTCGGTTTTCATACTTGCTAGAAGTCTACAACCTCAACTCTCTGGTGAGCAAGATCTCTAGGTGTGAGGTATCCCAACCACTACATTTACCTCATATTATACTGAAACAGTACTGTGCGCTCATGGATTGGTGGGGTCAGAGTTCAATAGGACTGTGTAACAACTTTCAGTGAACCGGTGTTCAGGAGCAAGTTTCTTTCAGATGCTTTTTAAACATGATGACATATTGTACATTGTGTTCAGTGGAAGTTGATGACATTAGGCTCAATGCCTTGAGCTAGAAGGACTGTGATTTGCCATAATGTCCATTTTCTCAACAATGAGGGAATAATAACAGTCATGTGATTAGAAACATCTATCATAATGACAAATTCCACATTCATTATACCCAAGAAAACTGAGCCTACAGTCTACAAAAATAAAAGCAATCCTTCCAGAGGGAGATTGTCCATCTTGGTGGGACAACCTGGCTAGTAACCCAAATGAAGCAATCAGGACTAACCTGTGATGAAAACCAATCGTGGATCATTCACCAAAACAA